ACTGCTAGCACAGAGTGGACTCCTGGTTCAAAACTCTCCAAAGCTAAGAGGCGCTTGAAAATCCTTGTGAGAGAAACGGCAAGGAATGAACACCACAATCTGTCTATTGTGTATGTGCCACCATGGGAAGCACACAGGGAAAGGAAACTTCTCTAAAGGTTATGTCAACGAACTTCAAAAAAGGATATACTCAGGATTATGGAGTCAGACTCCATCCAGGGAAGCTGAGGGCTTTCTGTGAGGTGGACTGGCCTGCTTTTGTGGTAGGCTAGGCCATGAAAGGGAACTCTAGACAGGTCCACCACACAACATGGGTGGCGAGTAGTAACTGGGGAATCAGGTCACCCTGACCAGTTTCCCTATATTGACACCTGGCTCTATCCCTTTGGTTACATGGATCTACTGACCTAAACAAAATGGAGTCGGTTTAATCACTGAGTCTCAAGTGAGGACCCTGCAAATGAGGACATTTATACATTAGCTGGGATGACCTTGTGGTCCTAGAAGGAAGTCAGGACAAGGAGAATAGGAAGCACTTAAACTGGTGCTGTGAGTTAATGCGCCAGACTGCAAAGCCATTTGAACTGCAAGGTCGGCAGTTCAAGTTCACCAGCTGCTCCTTGGAAACCCTATACAGGGTCATTATAGGTCAGAATCGACTTGAAGGCACTTAACAACAACAACCAAGCCACCCAGATAGTTATCTCGGGAATTAATCAGAGACCCTAAAGGTAGAATGTTTGAGAAGGACATTGCCCTATTGTTCCTTGCCCCTCCCCCTACAACGATGCTATCTTGATGTTAACATAGATTATGTGTGCATCCAAATGTAACTTACTTTATATCATGTGCCCGCTCTTCATAATGGACAGGACATTCTTGAGAAATGATTCTCTCTGTCCTCCAGACTGCTGGCTTTCTGTTAATAAAGCTTGGATTGGATCTCTCCTTGTCCCTGACTACAGTGACAGGCAAAATACCCTGGTTTCTGTTTAGCAACATTTCTGGAGACCACACTCAGGGACCTTGCAGACTTCTCTGGTAAGTGGTATTACTAGCAGAGGAACTTGGTCTCCTTTGTGGGTGATAGTGTTTGCTGGGAGGCCCGCTGACCACCTGGATAGGTGAGCCCAGAAGCACAGTAACTGAACACTCCAGCAGCACTTCCAAGGATCTTTTCTTGGGAGTCTTCTGCCTTGTGTCTCCTGCACTCACCGTCACCTTCGCTTTATTCTGGAAGTGCACATTGAGGCATGGTAGGCAGGAAGTAATTTCCTAAAAGTGTCCCTTCTGTTTCTGTATCTGAAATGAGAGTATAGGCTTCAATCTTAAATAAAGTGCTGTAAGGCATAATTCTGACTGGTTTCTGTATGGGTACCCTCCTATGACATCAAAAGAAATAGTGTTTTACTGTAATACAACTTGGCCAATGTACAATCTAGATTATGGGGGAAATAACCTATAAATGGATTATTAAATTATTATACCATCTTACAGCGTGGATTATTCAACCACTGTGTCAGATTGTCTATTTGTTT